AGGGGGTCCGAAATCCCCCGACAGGTGAGTGCGCTGGGGGGGCCCGGCACCCAACCAGGTGCCCTGCCCGGCCAGGCCGCCCGGGACCTCCCCCGGGCCCCTGCCGGTCACCCCGGCGGCCCGGATCCCCACTCAGAAAAAAATACAAAAATATCATTTGAATATCTAAGAAAGCATATGCGATTGGAAGCCTTCCACTGTTTACGTAGGAAAATAGTCTGAAAATTTGTGGTGAAAACTGATAATACAGAACATGCTCCATGATCTCCTGCTTAGAATGTCGCCAAAGAATACCCATCGCATGTGGTTGAATGGTAGCCATAGTCACTACGCAAATGTAACTGCTAATGAACAGGTTATGAGTTCGAATCCTGACAGTCTGAAAAGTTGTGGCAAAAAAACAATAGAACAGAAAGAACTCCATTATCTACTCCGTAGACTGTAGAATGTAGCCAAAGAATACCCAGCCCATGTGGCTGAATGTTACACACGTGTAGCTCTTAACAAACAGGTCATGAGATGGTTACCACAACACTAGGGGTTACCCCTCCTTAAAAAAAAAAGGCGTCAAAGAAAACACTGGTGGTGGATGGGACATCCAAAGGACTTTTGGGTGGAATGCTGTTACTTGCTGGGAGAGCATCCCCATAGGTTCTTCAGACTCTTCTCGAAAACTGGCTCTCAGAAAAGAAGGGCTGGGAAAACCTTATTAGAGGGATTGTCTTCATCTCACCAAGAGGATGTGATCTCCTTTGCTAACAGCAGTGCATGCAAATTTTACCAAAGCATGAGTTAAGATAATTCAAAAGAGGCAAGTCCTTCCTTCGCAGGAAGTAAGCAATGCCACTGTCTCAGGTTCCCTTGACGGTAATGGAGGGAAGCGTTTTCAACGTTAAGGAATTAAAAGAAAAGAGAGTCTTTCTTGGGGAAAAAAAAATTGAAAGATAACGGGTACGAGGTGCATACCTCTCGTATATGAAGAAGAGCACGCTGAAAAATACTGTTGAGGAAGAAGAGGTGCTTGCCAAGCATTATGCAGCAGTGCCTTGTTTTCTTCTTTCGAACAAAGCGTTTCCACATTGCAAATCCTTTCCACATCTTGTACTACATGTACAACAACATGCAATGCATATTCAGAATTTCAGAACATAGATTTCTTTGCTATTTAATTTCAAACCTCATTTCATTTTTTCATGGCAGCGATGGCATGAGCAAGCAATTCTCTCCTGAATTCTCAGTGCTCTTTTCATTTTAGCATTCATAGCTTGACGGTAGCACACTGTTCACAATCATTGTCACCATCATCTTCCTTCGTTTTTCTTCCTGCATTCTTTTTTTTTTTTTTTTTTAATACAAAAAAGTCTGATAAGCTACCGCTGCTACCAATTCTGTGTAAACCTTGAACCCCCCATTTGAGGCACAGTGAAAAACCTGGCATTCTAACCCCTGCTTGTCTTGTTTCTGTCCGAGGCCTCAACCCTAAACCCTGGACCCTAAACAAGATTAATCTTTTTCCAACTGCTCCCTGTGACACATCAGAAGCGGCCTGTAGCGCCTGAATCTTGGATGCTCTTGTATGCCTGTTTGAACCAGAACCTTAAGTATGTGGAATAGACGTCTTGCTTCTACCAGTCACACTTGAACAACTCCTGTCCAGTTGCATGGCCTTATGCTATGATACTTGTGTGGCGGCTGTGGCCTGCGCTGGAGCTTGCTGGATTCTCTGTCTTCTCAGGCCCACTTCTGATTTGTGCCAGTCCTTCCAACATATGCGGAAGTCCTTTATTTCTGCTACCTTCCCGCCTGCCAGCCAAATCTTTGTAACTTTTTTCACTGTTCTCTGCTGCTGGTGCGCTTCGTCCGTCATGGATTGTCTTGTCTTCTGCCACTTGCATAAGATCTCTGCCTGGATTAGTGTCCTTGTCTCCGCCCAAACTTTCTCCCTTTGTGTTGATAGCCCTTCGATGGTTCTGCTGCACCTTTCCTTCCTTTTTTTTTCATTTTTTTTTTCAAGTCAATAATAGATACATAGGAAACTCACGCACGCTCCTTCCCCATTATGGCTGGGAGGCCCGCGTAGACGACATTGATTACTTCCTTAAGGAACGATGTACCATCCCTCACCCCTGCTTAAGTAAGCCTGAGCTTTTACTCCTTTCACCATCCCTTAAACCCTAAACCCTAAGCCCTCAGCTGTAATGCTGTCATCATTTTGATGTACTACCTCAACGAATGTGACGCCCTATTCTTGCTCACATTGCTCCGAATTGTCAAACCAGTGAAAGACTACTCTGGATCCTTCCATTGTTGCTATCTTACGCTTTACCAACGTAACCCGTTGAAACGTTTTGAATATCTCCCGGGCTTTCTCCGGGTTTTGTTGGGCTTGCCTCCACCTTGTCCTTTCCTTTCATCATTCTCATCATACTTTCTAATGAGGCAGTGTTAGAGTCTATCTTCTTTTCAAGATGAACAAGATAAGCCATAATAGATTGCAATAGGGACGATAGGTCAGTCGCAACTTCCTCGAAGTGAAACCGTTCCCACATTTCCTCCAACATTTTCTCTCGTTGTTCTCTCTCTTCTTTCTTTCTTCTGAACTCTTCAATTATTCTTCTTTCATCCCTTAAGGTATTTTGTAATTGTCTGACATTCTCCTCCATTAGTTCCACAATCCACTTTCTTTCTTCTTTCGTCTCTTCTTCCTTTCCTTTTTGGCTCATTCTTTCCAACTGCTCGGCGACATACCGATCAAGAGCCATACGCCCTTGTTTAATGGGTTCCTTGACTTGCTGCCCAGTTTCCAGCATCTGAACACCAGTTTTTGCGGCCTCTAGTTCATCCTCTGCTGCTCGCAGGTTGAACTGTCCGTAAACGTGTTGTTCAACTGTTGGTCCGACACGTGTATCTCACCAAGCAGTTGCCGAAGAAGGCCTTGTAATGTTTGCCTTCTTGCGTCAATCTGTCCACGAGTCTTGAGATCTCCTACTTCTTCATTAGCGTAGAATATGAGAGGGATAGGAAAGAAGAGAAGTGGAATGAACCACGTCAGGATGGAGACACACAGACATTTCCAGCGAGAGTTCATTTTTCCCCGCGTATATTTGCCGCACAATAAATAAAATCAAAAGACATAAATAAATTCCACAGCACACGCAACTTTTACGGCAAGAATAATCAACAAAAGAAATGAGTTCTCAATCAGTTTCTCTATCCTAACTTTGCTGTCTGTTTTCTGTGTGATGACGTCCTACAGTTACAGGTACAGGTACCGCAGCCACGGCCAGTGTGATCAAGACAACAACACACTTGTGAGTACACACAGCAACCACAGACAAACAATAGGTAAGTAGAAAGCCAGCACAACAATACAATCGATAGTTAGCTCCTACTATACCATCTGCAGAAGCAATGCAACCCTCAACACAGTCTTTGCATGCCACGTGTCACCCCTGGCATGCCAACACAACAACTAATCTGCCACGTCAGCACATCAAGAACCTGGTAGGTCTACAAGGGGGGATGCCACGTCAGCAGCACAGACCTGTCACACTCTCAACACTGGTGAACCATATCAGCACATCAAGAACATGCCACATAAGCAATGTGCCTCATCAGCGGTACCAGTCTCTCTGTCTGTACCAGCGCCACGTCAGCACATTGCCAACGAAGCTCTCGCTGGTATCTTGAAATCTTCAATGCAGCTATGTCATCATCTTCAAGGGACGGCTGCTCGCAGGTGCATTACTACAATGTCTAGACTTGCGGTATGATTGCGCACGTTAATAAACACGTTTCGTTTTGCACATGCGGCACCTCCCACTTACCTGGGTGCCACGTCAGCACCTGACAACAATCAGCAGATCGGGACGAAGAAGTTGCTCCGATACCAAATTGTAATGAACCAGTCTGATAGATACTCAGAAGTCGTCAATCCACTGTAGTTTCAATATTTGCATGAAAGTCTCCAGATCGTGAAGTGATATCTCAAACAGAAACTCATTATAAAAAAGAGCAGAGAGTGGAGGGAGAATAAACAAAGGACAGGAAGAGAGATCACACAGTAATAACCCTTCAGATCCCTCTTCTTCTCCGGGCTTCTTCCACACTACATCATCAATGATATTAGTATATTCCTGACCACACACAATAGTGCCACGTGGCACTTTATCTCATGAAGACTCCGAAGACACAACAGATGTCCAGTGACGACGTCAACCTCAGGTGAGCATCCGATTCCCTACATCCACAGATCCCGATCTTCCTCCTCCTCGCAACCAGCCACCTCATGTAGACAGCGTGGACAATGCCACATCAGCAATCGAAACTGGTGGCATTCGCCACATCATCAATGTAGACCAGTAGCAGCGCCATGTAAACCAGAGGCAGCGCCACATCAGCATGCCACGTAGATCAGAGACGGCACCACATTTACCAGTGGCAGCGCCACGTTAGCATGCCACGTAAACCAGAGGCAGCGCCACATTTACCAGTGGCAGCGCCACGTTAGCATGCCACGTAAACCAGAGGCAGCGCCACATATACCAGAGGTAGCGCCACGTCAGCATGCCACGTAGCAGCGCCACATATACCAGAGGCAGCGCCACGTCAGCATGCCACGTAGACCAGAGGCAGCACCACATATACCAGAGGCAGCGCCACGTCAGCATGCCACGTAGACCAAAGGCAGTGCCACATAGAACAGAGGCAGTGCCACTGAGAAAGCGCCAGCATGCTGCCTCTACCTCGTGTTGTCGCCCGCAGCGCCTGTGCACAGCCAGCATGTAGCCAGCGTCTAGCCAAAGTCGAGCCAGCATCAAAGCAGCATAGCAAGACTTGAATGCCTTCACTTCCTCGAGGCCAGCCTTAAGTAGTAGTCAGCGAGGCTGTCTGGCCTCGGTGCATTTCCCCTCAGTCGTCCAGATTGACTCACAGCTGAAGGCCTGGATTGTACAATTGCAGACTTCTCCCTTGGACCCGATGTTGTCTGGGTACCTGCGTACAAACAAGTGTGTGTGTTTGATCTGCGGCCTGGGCTAGGTACCTTTGGACTTTGACTGTTGGGTGGACCGACAATTGACCAAAGTCAACTGTCACACGCCCACGCCCTGAATTCGTGAAGGGCCTTTTCTGCCCTGGTTCGGCCTGGGCTGAGGGCGACCAAGTAGGCCTTCTGATGACCCTCAGTTCCACGAGACATATGGCATGGGTTATTGCATACACACAATCACCGCCAAACCAGCCACTGACCACTAATCCACAACCAAACCAGTAAATATCCCTCTTCCCTCAACAAACCCACTCCTCCCCC